TTTTGACATTAAAAAAGTGTGTTATTTTTAGCTGAGATCACATCCATTAATGCTAAATGAATGACTTTTATTTGTGTGTTAAAAAAACACGCAATTGCAACAAGATTATTAAGTTTCCTGTCAGACATAATTAGAAAAAATTCCCTAGTTCTTTTAGCTGCATCCTTCACTTACATTAATCAACACTTAAATCTGTAGTATTTGACTTCCGGTTACAATTCGACCCTGTGATTTATTCAGCTTTACTCCATTTTTTATTCATTAATTTTAAAAAGTACCTGAAAGGATGGAATAGGGTATGCTAATATTTCTTTCAGAATGTATGTCGAAGATCATAATAAAAATTCGTTCATTTCAGCTGTTACGTTCAACCTTTCTACAATGTTCATGATTTTGAATGAAGTGGAAATATGTTCAGCATCCGTTGGTACATGAGTTAGTCACCAGATTCTTACTTTGTAGTACATTAGCTCAATTCCATTTTCTGAAAGTATGCTACACTGGTTTTAGTCTAAGATTTTTGAGTTTAAGTAAGAGATGGTTAACTCTAAACTAGATTTTGTGCTTCTTCTTTCATTCCTTGTTTTGAGAATGGAATACATGGCTTCAAAGTTTCTGTTGACGTGATTTTGTTGTTGTGGTTGCTAGCCTCACGCCAAACTTTCCTTTTATTCTGGAATTACTACCGGTTGCTCACCTAGGCGAGGTTTATGAGTACATCATTGCGGAATGTGTCTCGGACTAAGTGGGTGCCTGGTGAGTGATGTGGTACTGAGTCATCGATGTGTGTCCCAGCTGAACACGAATTTACATCCGTTAATTGTAAGCAAAAACTCCGTTTGAAGGATTCAATTCATGCTATTCACTAAATAAAATTGAAGACTTTTATAGGTATACTAATGTATTATACCAATTTCTCAAAGATCCCTTGTGAAGTTCATCTAAGTAGACAATATATTTAGGTTTCATTTCATTACATTTTGATTGAATAGTGTGACTGAGTAAACTAGAAAAGGAAACAAGTTTCTAAAGTCATATACTATAGTTTAAATAAAGAAGTATAAATTCTTTAGTACATCAGGTACAATATATGATGAAAGCGTAATAAAAAGCAGGCCTTATGACTATATAATCCTATTGTATATTGGTAGCATGTTTGTTTTCATATTGTATCTGTCATTTTAAATAATATCCACAGTAGACTGACCTCCTGTGAAAAAAATTGAAGAGAAAGATGAATAACCTCCAACTTTCATTGAAATTACTTGATAAAAAGAATTACAATGTTATCTGAAATTGTTATATTCATAAAAATGATATGTTAAGTACAACCCTTAAGTTAAAGGATTAAAGATGAAGTTTTGCCAATAAAAAAAGTTAGTCAAAGTTAAAGATAACCAACATTTTCACTAGGTGTCATTACTAATTACGATCAACATGAACATATGTTGTTTTCTTCAAGTTAGAACTTTGAAGTTTCAGTAGCAGTGGTATTTATTTTTACAGGATGTGGTTGCTAGCCTCATACCCAACCCTTCCTCTTTACTAGTCCTTTTACTGGCTTATCGAGGTCTACGAGTGCGTCAGCCGGGGATCAAACCCCGAACCACCTGCATGGTTGGCGACCATTCTACTGCTGTGCCACCAAAGCCATTATTATCGCAGAATTAATTAATAAGATAAGGATCCTATTAGTTGGAGAGAAGTTATTTTTTTCATAGAGAATCGGATAATTTTCATGAAAAGTTGTTAGCTAATGATGTAACATTATAATTAAATAAGCGGGAAAAATTTAGATAAACAGGTTTTTGAATAGTTGTTAATGGAGAGTGGCTTGCTTTGTTACTGTAGGATGTAAAGCATTAGTGAAACGCCTATATCTGAATAAGTATGTTGAGTAGTTATGAAGTACTTTGAAAATCTTTCCTAATTTATTTGAATCATGTTATTCAGTCACTACTTGAATTTCATAAGTAAGCGTTGAGTGACAGTAATGTTTTAGAGTTTATTGCATTAAAAAGGCGAATGTTTCACACTATTTATGACTAATAGGTACTTTTATTTTAGTACATCTACTTTGGATTCAATATTTGTAAACTGTTTCCACCTACATTTGATTATTATTTTTTTTATTCCTTTGTGTTCCCAATGGAATAAATGGCTTCAATCTAGAGACTTAAAGTTTCGGTAGCAGTGGTGGGATGGGATCACTAGCCTCATGCCCAACCTTCCCTGTTTGCCAATCTTATTGCTGGCTTAGCTAGTTAAAGGAGTGCATCGGCCGGGGGTCGAACCCCAGACCACATGCGTGGGTAGTGACTATTCTACCGCTATGCCACCGACGCACTTGATTATCAATAATCATTATATTTCAAAGAATGTCTGTTGATCTCTTTACTAATCTTGATAAAAGTATTACTGAACCTTATTGACTTACTTCCAAGTCTTCTAAAGGTTACTGCAGTATAAATCGAGTTCTGACGTCACTCAGTGGATGTATTTTTTCTCTCGATTTATGCTGGTATTAGTTATTGTAGAACGAAACCTTAGTAAATATTATTGATTATTAAAGTATGGCAGAGTGAGAGAAGTTACTTCATGCATTTATTCCGCTTTATAAATTTGAACAAAGTAAGAACAACAGTGGTTTGTGCTGAATAATATGGTACCATCATTTATTTTGTTGGCTTCCCATCAGCTGCTCACAGCCTAAATAAATTATTGTTAAGTTCACGCACAGAAACGCTTTAACATACTTGCAAATTTTTCATGATGTCAGTTAACAGAAGGTTCCACAATTAGTGAACAGTACTCAGAAAATTGCGCTTATATAGTTTTTAAACAGGCTGTTCAAGTTTAAGCAAAATAAATGTATGCATACAATGGTAAAGGAGTTACGTAATGAAGACGAGAGATGCGTAAGATCCTGAGTGACTAATAAATTACGTAACAATGTGCTCAGTTCAACTCGAATCACAGAAACAAGAGACAAGTAAATTTACACTACATCAAAGGGTGGTGAGGTCAAAGCCAAAGATTACATAATCAAATGAAAGAGAGAATAAATTCGTCCATTTACTAGGGCAAGGAAAGACTGATAACTGCTTCTTTCTGAACACATAAATCGGGTTTCAGGCGTTTGATAGAGATTGCTTCAGCAAACTTGAGGAGAATCGAGTTTTTTCTGTCTACTGATAATTCTAAACGATTTCGCGATTTCCACCTCATGACCGTATCATGGAGATGCCTATTAATGGCACTATTGTATGCGTTTGTTCTCTTCAAACGTAAGCTTTTCGGTACTTGTTCAGAAAATCGGAGGTGCGCCTTTCTTTCTGTTCTATTTCATTTTCAGTGTTCACAATTTGTTTTAAAGATGCTTTGTAATCTAATGAGAAATATATGTTCTGCCTTAAAATTAGTGATCACAATGTTAATCCATCACTGATGATAATTTCTGATTTTTCGCCTATGTCAAACATAGAATGATTTTACTCCAACATTATTATTGGGTAACTGTAATCACAATGCATTTCTCCGACATTACTAGTTATAGCTTTTCATTAGACTCCTAGGCTTTGCTTTCGAAGTGAATGAGTTTAAAAATCAATCTGATTATTCTTCAAAGATTATTTGCACGGATTGGTTTATGAAGTTGGATCAAGAACTGACATCAGCTAGAGAGTTATTGAAAGTCATTGATCACCTGACAGCTGTTTCACGCCACTTTGGAACTCTTTAGCATTACGCATCTGTGAATCCTTTTGGGATTGAATCCAAGGCTTTCATGTCACCAGGCGAGTCCGTTGACTTGTTATCCACTAAAATGACGTCAAGTGGTCTATAAAATCCATCGGATCGAGTCCCAGTGGTTTAATGGTATACGAGCTCGCTAGCCTTGTAACCAAAAGGTCCTGGGTTCGAATCCCATTGGGTGCGTACTGTGAAGAGTCCCAAACAAGGACGAAACAGTCGTCCAGTACTCCCAGGTTTTCCAATGGCTCTCTAACTAATGTCAGCTCATGATGAAATCCTGTAACCGATCAAATCCCTACAAACCAACACTTGAATATAAATTTTCACTTCTTCCATTTTGCAATAAATAGGTCCAAAGCCAGCTACTGCCTTACGGCGGATATTCATTTCCACACCCAACTTGGTGGACTCTACTGGTCAAAACTTTCCTAACTGAAATCAGTCAGTGGTCTGACCTTAATCATTTACCTATAGCAATAGGGGTTTACTGGTCGAGGTCTGTGTGTGCATTTTACCACTGTATGCACAATGACATGAAACTTGCTAATATACATTTATCTCATCGAAAACCGTATGAGGAGTAAAATGTGGTAATATAAAGTGTTACTTCCTTCTACCTGCGTCGGTGGCATAGCGGTTAGGACGCTCGCCGACCATTCACATAGTCCGGAGTTCGATCCCCAGCCGACGCACTCCTTTACCTCTCTTAACCAGAAATAATGTTGGTAAAGAGGAAAGGTTAGGCATGAGGCTAGCAACCCCATCCTGTCAAATAAACACTGCTACAGAAACTTCAAGCCACTAGCTTGAAGCCCTATGTTCCACTGGGGAACGTGAATGAAAAAAAACTTCCTTCTACTCAGGATTCTTATTCACTTTGAAATAATCTGACAACTGACAGTGTTTGCAAGATTTAGCATGAAAAGGGATCTTTCAAGTGAATTGGCAAGCATTTCAGTATCCTGAAAGCTCACTGAGTTTCCTGATAAGAATAAGAATTCCATCTTTGAATGTGATTGCTAGAGAAGACAGTTTTTCCTGGGACAATCTGCCTCTGTGTTAACTTAATATGCTATGATCATATAGTAATTGAGTTAAAGTGGTTTTTTGAGATATGTAAAGAATCAACCGTGTTGTTTATTCAACTTATTAGCTGCTGTTTTTTAAAATTGTTTGTATGTAATCATATTTTCCAATTTACAACACAAATAATTCAACTTTTGGCGCCTTTTATTCTCCTTCAGGTGTGGGCAACACTTTCAAATCTGTCAAAGTGAAGGATACAAACAATTTAGGGTTATACTTTTATACTACACAACTTATATTGGATTTGGATTAGGCAACATACTTGAAGCTTCATCTGTATGGATAACTGTACTGATTTCAGCTGAACGCTACATCATAATGAAATGGCAACATTTGGGGAAGTTGTTTTTCACGCGCAGACAAGGCAAATGGCAAATACTTTTCACAGTCTGTCTAGCAGTAGTCTTCAACTCTCCTTTCTTTTTCACTCTAACAATAAACTATTCTGTTAAACCAGGACCAAATAATACAACAAAACGCCTTCATTACGGTAAGCTTACATGGTTCGGTGAATCACAGTATTATCTCATATTCACATGGTTACGGTTTATCTTTGTTCAATGCATTCCACTGATAACTTTATGCATAGCAAACGTTATGCTGTTACGTTTAACATGGTCAAGTTATCATAATCAAATGAGACATCAACTTAGACAGCAGAGTTATATGCAACATTCTTCCCAGACAGTATTTGCAGCTATAAAAGCTAAAGTGGTCAATACTGACAAATCTATTAATAAACAATCAAAATCAGTTACACAGGTTACGCCTGATCCACAAACATTACTTTCAGTAAATGATGATGAAAAAGAAGGCTGTAATACTCAAGAGGAATCGGAGAAATTCGATAACCGCCTGCAGACAAACAATAATAATAATACTGAAGACGATTGTTGTGACAAGCAGAAAGATATTACTGATAATAATAATAATAGCAATTCTATACCAATAAAGCGTACCTCATTGGCAAGTCGACGACTGGAACGTTCACAACAAGCCAATAACAAGTTGTCAATTTTATTAATGACTGTGATATTTCTATTTATAATTGGTCAAATTCCTCAAGCTCTAGCCTACGTTCATATCTTAAATTTAATTGTACCAAGATCATGCGTGAATTGTAGGACATTCTCATCGTTGTATAAACACTTTAGCCAATTGTTATGCCTGATTACATCAACCACCAATTTCTTTCTGTATGTGACTTTAAACAGAAATTTCCGGGAATGTTTAAAAGGACTGTGTCGATTAAGATGCAAGTCATAGCTTTTACGTACATTAAGATAACTTATGAAAAAAATCTGTCGAATAACTACTTACTTCTGTTACACTTCATTGATGTAATCAAGTGTAGTGGAGGATTTACATCATACCTGTTTCTACTGAGTAATATTCTTTTTTTGTTTATAAAGAAAATACATACTGTATCATGGCATTTCATCTGATAAAGATTTTATTTCTTATGAATTATTTGTAGTGTTTGTTTAAAAATGAACAGCATATTACTGATTATTACATTATATTGACCATTTAACCCTCAACATCATTGTTGCTCATGGATTCAATAAACACCGCTATTTATGATTGTTTAACTGTTTTCTACTTCTGTATCTACAAATTTTGTTTATTTGTCTCATATGAGTTGCAGAAAGTCGTTTGAAGTATTCGACATAACTAAAACAAATAAGAAAAAACTGTCCAATCTTGCATATTCAGACTCTCGTCAAATGCGCCGTTAAAATGTCTAGGAATAACACCTTTTTAAAATTATTGGTCACTTCCTTGGAGATGAAAAGAAGTTGAACTTTGAATTGTGAAGTTGTAGGTAGATTTCATCACCAACTGATATCTGTTCGTAAACCATCGGAAACCAGCGAGTACTGAGTATCTACTTCATCGCACTAAGACACTCATCACCAGTATTCTCTGACGAGGTTAATAGGGAGTGCACCCAAGGCTCTTGTTTTATAAGAAAGGCCGTTTGCCATTCAGCCAATGGTCTGTAATTCAACGACCTGTCAACTTTCATTACAGCAACATAACCACTTACAGTGATGAGTGAGCATTTGTCATCATTTTCTGATTGATGAACCTTATCAATTACTATTTCTAATTAAAACTTCAGAATGTCCAACCAGAAGTTAATCTTTAATGAACGGTGAATTCAATTTTAACTGTTGGACTGACTTCAAAATAAATGTCCTGGTGAACTGACGCAGTGGCAGCTGAAGACTTTTATGACTGAGACTTCACATTTACTCAGTGCTCCGTAGTTTCAGTGGTATTCTGACTGATGGCAGTTCTTTACTAAAGCTACTCTAAAAGTCGAATTACTGGGGTGCATTAAATACGAGTTTCAACAGGAGGAAAACCTGTTGTTATAGTACAGTATGATTTTTTTCATTTCATGCAATGATGCAGTTCGATACAATTATACGTCCTGTAAGCCTTCTCCACCTGATATATATATATATGGAATTTCAGGTGTGAAATTATATCTTTCTTTATTCAGTAATAAATAGACTGACTCGAGAAAAGTAATTATTTTTCCACATTACCAGGAAACACTGAGGTCAAAATCATAGGAATGATGCAATAATTTCGAGTTCAAGAATATATTATCTCCTTTTTTTTACCTGATTGTCTTTATTTTTAAGACGTTTTGCATTTACACAGACTAAAGCACAAATCCAAGTCATTATTACTTCTCTAAAAACAAACACGTTGTGAGATTGTTAATGTGTTGAACAAATATCTTACCATCTAATGAATAGAGATCCGAACTGGGATAGCGAATTATATTGCAGAATTCACCGGATTTAGAACCTGTGATAATAAAGGCACCCATTAATTATTATTGTTTCCTTTAATTCCTAGAGGAACATAGGGCTTCAGCCGTGCATCTCCATTGCGTTCGGTTCTCTACTAGAGTCTTCACCTGGCTCCAAGTCTGCCCACACGTTTTCATCTCCTCTTCACATGACCTCCTCCTCCAAGTCACCCTTGCACGACGACCAACTCGTCGCTTCCCTTTCGGGTTCCACTCGAGTAATGGCTTGTCCAGTGATGTCACTTGATGCACTGTTTTCTCAGAGTATGGCCAGCCAATCCATCTCCATTTCTTCCTGCCTATTTGTTTCACAATCGGTTCCTGGTTGGTTTGCTGCCAGAGATCTCTGTTGCTTATCAACTCTGGCCATCTGATCTCGAGTGGTATTGAGCGAAGACAACTGTTAATGAAGGTCTGTAGTTTGTTTGATGTGCTCTTTGTGACGCGCCAAGTCTCTGATCCATATAGTAGCACTGACTTCACATTGGAGTTGAAAATCCGGATCTTATTTTTGATGCTGAGTGTTGTTGACCTTCACACAGACTTGAGAGTAGTGAAAGCTTGTCTTGCTTTCCCGATTCTTGCTTTGATATCCTTGTCAGTTCGGCCTGTAGTTGAAACGATGCTTCCGAGGTAGGTAGGTAAAGGAGGTTGTTTCTCTCAGGTTCCTCCCATTTATGCTGATTGTTGTCAGTTGTTGTTGCTGTTAGTGGTGTTGCCCATTAATTATTCAATACATATTTAAACTAATGATATCCATATCTCATCACTGACTGATGCATTTCTCTTATCAAGTTTCATATGTCTAAATGCTTTTCAAAGGTTATGTTTTCTTTGCTGGACTCATTTAACAAACCAGAAGTACGTGATAACTCAGGGTCTACTTATTGACAAAGATGAATTTCAGCGAGTCATTTTGCTGCAGAATGAAAAAAGAGAGTTCAGCATGTCCAGTATATGTCGAAGTGGAACATGTTGAACTCTCCTTATTATTCTACAGTAAAATGACTCGCTGAGATCCTTGAAGCAGTAAGATCAAATCTATGTAAATGTTAATTTAACAGTGTCAGATATCATATCTCTTATAGCTTGAATGATGTTTAGCATTTATCTTCAGATAGTACACGTAAAGCAAATGCCAAATACTTAGGCACAACATTCAGGACATTAATAACTGATAAGGATAAAAGGGACATAATACATTTCGACCATGTGTATAGGGAAGGAATATTAATTTTGACTCACATTACCTGTAGCGAGCAAATTTACTGGATTTTCGTCTGAACGCAACCCACCGACCTCTACGTTTTACTGTATAGCCGACAAAACTTCATTGAGACACCAGCTATCACAAAACGTTCCAATGGAAGAAAAAAGACGAATATTCTGCAATATTTTAGCATTTCTATTGAAAAATAATAACATCAAACTCAAAATTACCTCAATAGTGCCATGAGGCAGCCATACAGGCAATATATGTTTCTAAATACAAAACAAGTACTGTAAGAAAAAATTAGTTAAGCAAAGTTCAACTGTAAAAGGTACCCCAGAATCAAGGAGAATATTCCCAACGAGGTAGGAGCGAGAGCTGTGTTCACAAAAATCACGCACCAAAGCTTCCTGGGTCAGAATGACCTTCAAAACAAACTCATATTATATATGTCCAAACCAAGTTCACTTTTAACAGTTTGAAAAAAATTTGGGCATTGGGTATATGATATTCATTATAATAAAGGTTTTTTGTATTTTCCAATGAATGAAAAACAAAACAATATTGTTTTCACTGACGTTTCGCTATTTAATGCTAATAGCTTTATCAAAGTATTATTAAACCGGAATTTACAAAATCTCAGCATATATATAACAACCTTGTCCATATAAAAGACCAGATCCCTACAGATTCTCTATCTAATTGTGTCTATAAAATAAAATGCTTGGAATGTGCTGCAATATACATCGGACAGACATCTCGAGAAATCTAAATCAGAAGAAACGAACACCGTAGAGCATCTATTCGACCAGCGAGAAATCCCGTTGAACTAGAAAAATTTGAAAAATCATCAGCCATAGCTTGTCTACACTCTTCAGAATCAGTTCACAAAATTGATTTTGACAATATTGAAATAATCCAGAAAAACTTCAGAAATCACAAAGGACGTCTAATATCAGAAGCACTTCATATCAAGTGGAATCCAAATTGACTGAATAGGAATGATGGACTAAAACAAAATCTGACCTGGTTACAACACCTCTCTCCCCCAAGTTCACTATGTAAACACATACTGCCTTTACAATTTTAAACACTGATCAAATCCAACAATCTACACTTGATTTTGTTATCTTTACCAATTGACCAACTTGACAACGAAAAATGACCCCAGACTAACGAACGATGATCAAGCTAGTAAACTTTGTTTTCAGACCATAACAGATGTACTATTACCTTTGTTATTTGGTTTAGTGATCTTCATTGTTATTTTGACTTTCAGTATGTCCTTTTAACTTGACCTAAGTCTATTTTCTCACCCCCTAACTGTTTGTTATATATATGCTGAGATTTTGTAAATTCCGGTTTAATAATACTTTGATAAAGCTATTAGCATTAAATAGCGAAACGTCAGTGAAAACAATATTGTTTTGTTTTTCATTCATTGGGAAATACAAAAAAAGCGTTTATTATGACAAACTCACATTGTTAAACAACGCATTGTCAATGAACACATAAACACAAAGAAGTATTACAATTAAAGATTAAACAAGGATAAAGTTGAATAATAAAGATCGAAAATCAACATGCGGTATACCAGTGTCAAATTAATGGTGCACAGTTCGGGGGAAATACGTAAATGAACTACAACGTTAGTTGAGTTGTCGAAATAAGTATAAACATTATAAATAGACTGTCCAGGGGGGATTTTCCAATCAATTTGTCCATTACATTACCTGTAGTATTTTTCTTAATACGTAAACATGAATGTTACTTTGGGAATAACTTTAAAATTCAAAGTGTTTTAATGTATTTTCGGGTTCCCTACTTTATTGACTTCAGTATGTTGCACAACACTTTCTCCTTATTTAGACTGCAAAATGTTTTAACAAAGTTATGACTTTTACTTTCTCTGCATCTTTTATTTTTACCTTCGTCCCAGTTAACGCGAATTACGTGCATGTGCACGTGTGTCTAGGTATGTGATAAAACAGTCTGTAGTACTTTTATATACTTTACAGAGGAGACATAAACTATTTAATAGTCCTTATTGTACTCTAATTCTGTTTAGAATGAAATTCATCAGTGTTTGTGATTAAAGAAACTAAATGTTTTCACAATGCTTTCTTAATCAGTCTCTCTTATGCTGTCTTCTACAAAACTTTGGTAGAAGTTAGAATTCATGAGCCGTTGAATCGGGTCCCAGTTGCTGAATGGTATACGTGCTTGTCTTGTAACCGGAAGCTCCTGGGTTCGAATCCCAGTGGGTGCGTACTGACGATGATTCCCAAACTAGGACGAAACAGCAGCTGTCCAGTACTCCCTGGTTTTCAATGGTTCTCTGACTGATATCAGTCCGTGATCAACTCGTAAAAACAAAACTTTGTATCATGAAGCATAGCCTACGCCTAATTAAATTTGGAAAAGATAGTAGTACACAAAAAAGAGACATTATTAATTTTCAAATGATATTAGAAATATTTAATTCAGTTGTAGATTTTTCCGTCGATTGATGGGACCGAAGTACTTGGTCTCAGGTTGAAATTCCAGCTCCTTGTTCA